TCCCACCCATTGAACCCCCGGAACATCATATTGAGACCAGCCCTCCGACATGGAAAGAGGTGGAAAACACAGTTCGAAGGGCAAGAACAGCATCAGCCCCGGGGCCAAATGGAGTCCCGTACAAAGTGTATAAGAACGCACCAGACGTCCTGAGGTTCCTCTGGAGGCTTATGAGAACAGCTTGGCAAAAGAAGATAATACCCAAAGTGTGGCGTAGGGCAGGCGGGGTCCTGATCCCTAAGGAGAAGGATGCAGTGAACATCAGCCAATTCCGCCCAATCTCCTTACTGAATGTCGAGGGTAAAATCTTCTTTAGGATCATTGCGCAGAGGATGGCCGAGTACCTGCAAAGGAATGCGTACGTCGATACATCTGTACAGAAGGCAGGAATATCAGGGTTCTCTGGCTGCTTGGAACATTCCAGCATGATCTGGCACCAGATCCAAATGGCCAAGGTGGAGAAAAGGGACCTCCATGTAGTCTTCCTCGACCTCGCCAATGCATTTGGCTCTGTGCCCCATGAACTCCTGTGGTCTGCCTTCAGATTTTTCCACATACCGGACACCATCACAACCCTGGTGAAGTCGTACTTTCAGGATCTGCAGTTCTGCTTCACCACCTCAGAGTTCACCACCTCATGGCAATGCCTGAATGTAGGTATAATGGCGGGATGTACCATTTCTCCATTGGCATTCATAATAGCAATGGAGGTTATCCTTCAGATCCTCAAAATGGGTTGCTGGTGGACAGCGAGTCGACTCTGGTTTTCGCCTCCCTCCACTCAGAGCCTACATGGACGACATTACAACATTGACCACCACTATCCCATGCACCAGGAGACTGCTCAGAAAACTCGAGGAGAACATCAGCTGGGCCCGTGTGAAGATTAAACCATCAAAGTCACGCAGCATCTCGATTGTGAAGGGAGTACTCTGTGACCTGAAATTCTTCATCGGAGATGAACAAATCCCAACAGTGTCTGAGCAGCCGGTAAAAAGCCTTGGAAGGTGGTATGATGCAAGCCTGAAGGACAAAGACCAGGTGCAACAGCTGCGCAAAGACATCAGTAGTAGCCTACAGTCCATCGACAACACCCAGCTACCTGGAAAGTTAAAGGCCTGGTGTCTGCAGTTTGGTCTCCTACCCCGGGTGTTGTGGCCCCTAGCAGTGTATGAGGTTCCAATCTCAACAGTGGAGAAGATGGAAAGAGGAGCCACGAGCTACTTAAAGAAGTGGCTCGGAGTTCCACGATGCCTTACCACCATAGGCCTCTATGGAGATGGTGTCCTCAAGCTGCCCCTCACCAGTCTAACCGAGGAATTCAAGTGTGCAAAAACCAGGCTCCAGATGACACTGAATGAATCTCGAGACCCAGTGGTGAGCAACAACGCACCGACCTTGGCAACTGGGCGCAAATGGAGGCCAGGAAAAGCAGTCCAGGAGGCAACAGCAGCCCTGAGACATGCTGACATTGTGGGTCATGTTCAGCAAGGGAGAGGAGGCCTTGGGCTAACTAGCCGTGCTGCTTGGAGTAAGGCCACTGCACCAGAGCGGCGGAAGATGGTAGTGCAGGAAGTACGCCATCAGGAGGAGGATGCAAGGTGGGCCAAGGCAGTATCTCTTGCCAAACAAGGACAGTGGACTCGATGGGACAGTGTGGAGAAGAGGAAGATCAGCTGGAAGGTTCTGTGGGCCATGGAAGCGAGGCGGTTGAGCTTTTCCATCAGAGCAACATATGACATCCTTCCAACACCAGTTAATCTTCACCAATGGTATGGTGAAGATCCGGACTGTGCCCTCTGTTCCATGCCAGCCAACCTCAGGCACATTCTCACAGGGTGTAAAACAAGCCTCACCCAAGGACGCTACACTTGGCGTCACAACCAAGTCCTTAAAAACCTTGCGTCCGCCCTGGAGGACAAGCGAGCTGCCACCAACTCCCTACCACCCCCAGCAGCATCACACCCCTTACGGGCGACCTTTGTCCGCGAAGGGGCTAAACCACCGAAGAGCGGCTCTACACCAATAGAGCGAGACCAGCTGCGCTTGGCCCGCGACTGGAAAATGCTAGCTGACATTGGCCGGCAACTTGTGTTTCCTCCGGAGATCGCAACCACCACCCTAAGACCTGACATGGTGCTCTGGTCCCGTTCGCTCAAGAAGGTCTTCATCATTGAGCTCACAGTACCCTGGGAGGACTCAGTAGATGAGGCTTATGAGCGAAAACATCTGCGCTATGCCGATCTAGCTGCTGAAGCACGGCATCATGGCTGGAACACAGAAATCCGACCAGTGGAGGTGGGCTGCAGAGGTTTTGTGGCAACATCTACAACCAGACTGCTTAGAGACCTGGGAATTAAGGGCCAGAGCCAGCGTTCGGCAATCAGAGCTGTATCGGAGGCGGCAGAAGGCAGCAGTCAGTGGCTCTGGATGAAGAGGAATGACCCCAGCTGGGCCCCAAAGTGAGAGGGCCAGGAGGTATGCAGTCAACAATGCTTGACTCAGGGAGGAGGACGCCCCTGCCATGCATAGTTCCATGGGATGTTGGCTATCAACAACAAGGCAACTCCTATGACTAATTGGGAATGGGACGCAAGCGTAGGATTGATCACCCTGTCGCTGGCCGCCTTTGGGGAGGGTGTATAGTATGAAAGGCCGAAACACCCTAGGAACCAAAGGGTCACTACTGACGATGCGCTCCCCAAATTTCACCAGGCTCACTGTTCATGAACTCTTGGAAGTGCTTGCACAAAGGATAGTAACATCTCATCCTGTGTTCTTTGGAATCTCTGCAAGCCATTTGGCTACCATAAGAGATTCGTTCATGAGGCGATCCACATATACAAACACAGAGACAATTTCAACCGAGAAGATGGATTCTGGCTTAGCAATCATTGGAAGGACGTAATAAACCATTTCGGATCTTAACTGATTGTGTTCGCGTTTACGGTGACTTTCAGACCACGTTCCACTCACTGGCATTGTATTCTCCGCAGGGAATGGATTCTTTGCTCCGCTGCAAGTTTTCTCCCCACGACTCACCCATTGACACGACGGTCAATGGTACAGTGTATAATAACAAATAGTATAACATTTATATATTCTTAATACAATGTACAAAGTAATATATAGTATCGTAATTGTATAGTAAACATATAGCAGTGTGTGTGATACACATTAGGGTGGGTAGAATAATACATAGTGTAATATTAAAATGTATAAGGTTTAGGGTGGTTTATAGCAATACAGTATATAATTTAATGTTGGGGTTGTCTATGGCAGTATATAGTACGGTGTATGCTCGTGTGATGTAAGAGAATAAAGTTTAGATGGAAGCATATTATATAATTTTTACGACGTAGAATTGTAATGTATTACTTGCTGTTAGTAACTCAGCTTATTGTAGAGTATAATAAGTATACTGATGATGCTATGCAGTTTATACTTTCGTTTTTTATGCAGTTTATACTTTAGTTTTCTACGTGGTTGTTTAGTAACTGCAGCTACATACTATTAACATTCATTTCCTTTGTTAATGCTACTCCCTGCACCCTCCCTTGGTGCTGCTGATCCTGCATAATGCATGGGCATAATATGACTTTGAAACCTCCCCGCCCACCTCCTACGCATTTGCCATGAATATGCTAAATTCCTCTTGATATGCACATTCTTTTTGTTAAGGCGCTCTTCTTCCACCTCCAACCCAGGTTATATATAAGCTCCTAGCTTGGCAATGTCTCATTCTTCACCTGAAGACGGCTGCTTGCGTTGTAGCCTAAACGTTGTGAGAATTATGTTATTATGTTTTATTTTTATTATTTTATTACTTCCCTTCTACGTGACTTTACCGAAAAAACCAAGAAAAAAAACAAATAGTATACAAATGTATATGCTTAATACAATGTACAAAGTAATATATAGTATCGTAATTGTATAGTGAATATACAGCAGTGTGATATACATTAGGGTGGGTAGAATAATACATAGTGTAATACTACAATGTATAAGGTATAGGGTGGTTTATAGCAATCTATATATATAAAATCGTGCATGTCTGTCTGTCTGTGTATGTGTGTGTGGATTTCGGACCATACGCACTTTCATTGGACGGCGGTTGCCCCTGGCAACAGCTAACGACGCCTTCGCCGCTTTCATTGGACGGCGGTTGCCCCTGGCAACGAGTAGCAACTTTTCGCCGCGGGGTGGACGCCATTTTTAATAGCGCGGGGGGGGGGGGGGGGACCGGCACCCGTACCCAGCGTTCGCCGGGTGGGAAAATCAGGCAAGGCGGGAGGCTCTGCACGGTGCTAGGCCTCGACACCCAACACGCCACTCTGAGGTAAATTCATACAAATTTCACGTCCTCTACAGAGTGGCGAGGGAGGCAGAGTGGCGAGGGAGGGACTCAGCCTCAAAACGAGTAACTGGTGTGGCGTATTAACATCGCCACTGGGGAGACAAAGGCGGCCGGCCGTGGTGGATACAAGTCCCGGGCGAAGCCGGGTAGTACAGCTAGTACAGTATATAATTTAATGTTGGGTTTGTCTATGGCAGTACATAGTACGGTGTAGACTCGTGTGATGTAAGAGAATAAAGTTTAGATGGAAACATTATATTTTTTACGACGTAGAATTATAATGTATTACTTACTGTTAATAACTCAGCTTATTGTAGAGTATATTTAGTATAATGATGATACTATGTAGTTTATACTTTAGTTGTTTACGTGGTGGTTTTAGTTACTGCAGCTACATACTATTAACACTTCTTCCCTTTATTAATGCTACCCCTATCCCCTCCCTGTGATGCTGCTAATCCTGTATAATGCACGGGCATAAGTAGTACTAATCACATACCTGCATTTCCCATATCCCCTCCCTTGGATGCTGCTACGTGACTTTACCGAAAGAACCAAGAAGACATTATTATACTTTTAGAAAACAGAAAGAAAGATGACGAACAGAGATAAAAAAAGAACTTGTGCTGAAACTCAAACTGACCATGAGCTCCTTCTCGTGAGCGTGGTCCTTGTCGAGCACAGAGCGGCTGTGGAACAGCGCAACGGCCGCCTCCACGCCCTCCTGGTGCCGCGCATTGAGCTCCAGCGTGGGAAGAGAGAGACGTTCCGCGACCGGGCCCATCGCCTTCCGGTAGAATGCAAGCGCCGCCTCCTTGGCCTGCCGGTTCGCCAGCGTCACCACCTGCACGAGGGCGCTCTCTATGCAGGGCAATGCGTGCGCCCGCTGAGCTGACGCATACTGCTCCACCAGTTCAATGAAAGCTTAAACGACAAAGAAAAAGTGAAATATTTTCAGGAGCTGGTTGGTGGTTCGTGAAGACGCATGGAGCTGTGTTGCATTTTAATAGACAAACGTTATTGAGATAACACAAGTGCGTGCGGCAAAACGTCAGAATGGAGAAATTAAAGCATGAAAAAAAGTGGAACGTAAATGGAGAAAGCATTAGCCAGCTCAGATTTGCTGATGACACAGTTATTTTCACAAGCAATGAAAAGAAATGACAAAAGATGATTGGCGAACTCCACCAATAACGCTACAAGACAGATGCGACTGGAGTGAGGGTAATGGTCACCAAGTGTGCCCAACAATGTCAACCCTGCGAGTACCAGTGGTTGTGCGATGAGAGAGGGAAGAGGGACCAGGCCATTTTCCAGCTTAGAGACTCCAGGGTATGATTATAAATCAGGAGGGAGAGCTGACAAGGAAGTCATATGTCCTGAAAGAGGCCCCCCCTGCTTTGAGTATTTATAGTCTGTTCTCCTGTAACGTCGGGTGTGTTCATAACACAAATTGTAGAAAACGCAATGAATGTATTAAGGGGGAACACATTTTTCGGAGTGCGGATGAGATATAACACGATTGAGTGAACAGAACTATGTCGCGCGAGTAGGAATAAGCAGTCGTATGGCTGCCTCAGCATAGCATCACACAAGGCATTGGAGATGCTGCTGGATGCTTCTAGATGCAACCCACGTGCCTCAGTCTTTGTTCAGGCTGTGTACGTATCTCACGTGTTATCGCAGACTGTGCTTTACGTTATATTATTTTTAATTTATGACAAAACAAATTTTCCACAACGCGATGTTCTTCAGGAACGCAACTACCACCGCGTTATAGGAGAACATGTGTTTTTAAGACAGGCCACATGAGATCCGCAACATCTGAAGGCGCGCCGACCGTGAAGCGTTCACCTACATGCAGCCTACACAAGCGACCTTACTGTGGGTGAAGATGACTGTTCCGCAGACGTGCTTGACTTTGGCAGAATCCAAGATGTACTTAATTAAATTGTCGGCCACGCTGAGGAACTTGGGGTTGAGCCTGTCGTCCGGTAGCTCCTCAAGGTGCTCCAGGTGTTGTGCTTCAGCTGGCACTGGGAACACGAAACACTTTCGCTCCTGGAAAGAAAACAATGGTGAAAATCGTGAAGCTCCAGCCGGTGGCTTTTGGCTCATTTGAATGGCAAAATAATAACACTACAGTGAATTAATTCCCCGCAAACAATCATGTAAAGGAAACAGGATGCTCATTCATCATTATATGTGCGTGTTAGACGTGTCTAAACCAAATTCCTACAAAAAATACAGTTTGAAGATTAGACAGCTACTTCGAAAAAATATTTAAATTCTGTGCATTGAAAATGTGTCTGTCTGACGTGTACAATTTTAAGTACTATATACCGATTATATTGAATTAAGTCAATAAGGGTGGCACAGTTCAATTAGGGTGACGCAATGGCAATGTTTTCGCTCCACAGTAAGAAAGGTCCTAGTTCGATTCCCGACTCGGGCAGCTTTATGTGTTGAGTTTGTATGTTAGGGGTGCCACGGTGGCGAGATATTAACTACCTCGTCTGGTATACAGGAGGTCGTGGGTTTGACCCTGACGCCTGTATATTTGGAGTTTGCATGTTCTCCCCGTGGTGGCGTGGATTTTTATCTCCGGGTCCTCCGGTTTTTCCATCCACATTTAGAAACATGCGTTTAGAACAGTGGCATTTGGCTGCTATAAATTTCCAATTAATTGAGCTATCATTTGTGAAAAATAAGAATACGTGACTTTACCGAAAGAACCAAAGAGTTTGGATTCTTGCAGTCACGAAAACTTCAAATCTAGATCTATCATTTGTGGCCAGGTCGCTTCTGAAAAAGAGCTATATAGCTCAGTGGGCCATACCTGGTCAAACAAAAATAGTTTCATGTTCTCTCCCTGTTCTGCATGGGTTTCCCTTAGGTTCTTCGGTTTCATCCCATAGCTAAAAGAAAACTCCGCACAATGTTGACTGGTGTTGCCCAAAACATCCAGATCCTGAAAAATTACCTCCAAATTACTCGATTGGGCTCACACAGTCGTAATATGCACCGAACTGTAAACACTCGGCAGGATCCTTCTGACAAATTTGCCTTGAGATTCATTGAGGCTTTCCTTGCTGAACCTGTTTTGCAACTGACTTGCCCAGACACAAATAACCACAGATTACTTACCAACACACGATTGGGGCTACAAGTAACTCCGTGATGTTTTTGCAAACCGGAAAAAGTGCACCCAGAACCGCGAATCGCCCCAACAATGTGTAATTTAACATGATCAATTTATTTAGGTTTGTTTACCCATGGAAAGCCTCCCTGGGTCTCAACTCTTTTTCAGGAGGGCCCTGCCAGGTTTTCACAGGAGTGGGGCAATGTTGCCGCCGCTGCTCGATTGTAATCCCGAGTTAGTGATTTCCAGGAAATGTTTCAGCATTGGGAAGTTTGCCCGATATCCAGTTACAATGATATTGTTCATCTGCGGGAAGAAACCAGAGAAGCCAGAGGAAACCCTTGCAGAACAGGGGGAGAGAATATACAAGCTCCACACAGAGAGGTGCCCGAGTCAGGAATCGAACCCAGGGTCTTCCTGCTGTGAGGCAAGAGTGTTAGAGCTGCACCACCACGCCAAACGTGGGGGTTACGATCCTAAAAAATGGCGTTTTGGGAAAAACCACAGTCGCCAAATATATGAAATATAGGGTTGCGTTCCTGGATTCGAAATCATCGACTGTAGAGTACAAGTGCACAGCGCACCACTTGCCACCCCCAGCCCCTCCTCCCGTGTTCCAGAAAACCGACCTCAACAAGTAAACCACATACGGCCCAATCGTGCGTTTGACAAAGTAGCGTTGGTCAAGGTGTGCGACCGCACCTTGAAGTAACCGCAGAGCATCTCCCGCTGCTCGTTGAACTCGCGGCAAGCCTTGGCTAGCCCCTTCTTGCGCATTTGCAGGCAGTGCTCCATGTAGTCGTCGGCCGTGCAGGGCCTGCCTCCCACCTCCAGGTGCAGCGTGAAGTCCCGCATGCACATCACCAGCGACGGGAAGTGTCGGTGAAAGTCCGAGCCGATGCGGTCAGCTTTTTGGTGCTCCTTCGTTCTCACGTGGTCTGCTAGGTTCAATATGAAGCTACGACGTATTGCAGTCAAGGGTAAGACAACACAACATGCTCATTCAGGTAGTGTTTCTATGCTAATAGTTGTATGTCTGTGTGTGGGGAGCGGTAGTTATCGAGCTGCGCTACGAACCTGGCAACTCGAGTTTGATACCTGCTCACGGCCAACACCTGCGACAGTTATCTGCACCGGTCCTGGGCCTCCTCCTCTAGGTCGACTCACTCTCAAATGAGTAACTGGTGCGGTGTGTAAACAACACCACTGGGCAGACAAAGGCGGTTGAGCGTGGTGCTGACCATCCACACCCTCGTGTGCCGTGCCAGCTTTCATAGGTGCTTGCTAAAAGCACTTGCCCTAACAGTTTGTTTAGGCTATGGATATATTGGGGAATCTTTGTCTTTTCACTCCTTTGTTCGGCAATATTTTCACATTTGTCCTTTCCTTCACCAAGCCTTTGCAGTTTTAGATTCGCTTGCTTCTACCTTACGTGTTTTACTTTGCCCCTTAACGTAAATAGTACCATATCTTATATTGCTAGTGATTTCATCATTTGACCTTGATTGCTAGTTACCAGATTACAATCTCGAACATCTGCACCAATTGAAGATTTTTATTTATTTTTATTATGAGTATAATTTTATTTTAAATTTCGGCTGGATTCGTTTTGAATGCACGCGTGCAAACATGGTGCAGAAAGATGCACACGGCCCATGCGCACGTACACATGTGCATTCGGACAAAGTCGAAAGTGATTTACTGCCAATTGAGCATTGAAGCGGTACCCATTTTCGATTTACAGCCCTGAGTCAGTGGTGGGTATTCCACAATCCTATGGCGGGGGAAAGTATATTTAGAGGACAACTACCATTGACTTCTGCACAAAATAGTATATAGTAGTAGGTTTTTACCCTTTTAAACTGGTACAAAACTGACACCTTTATTCAAGGCATCATGTTTGCAAAGGTGTCAGTTTTGTACCAGTTTAAAAGGGTAAAAACCTACTACTATATTTTGCCACTGGTAAAAGAGATCTCATAAAATAGTATATATTTTGACACGGAGGCTTTCACGACCAATATTATTTGTAATAAAGGTGTTTTGGGTTAGATCACGTATATATACTTTCTGGTAAAATCGCCCGATGATGCCGGATGTAATTACCAGCAAAACGTCGTACTCAAATTGTAAATGTTGTGGATGTACTCTCTAACACAGCATTGGGCTGAAGCAGTAACTAGTTGGCACGTTTTTTTACTTGACAAACCTTAATGGTTTGCTGTGTCGAGTGGTGTCGAGTTAACAACACATTTATATGGAAAAATTTGAGACTGACGCCATCCAGACTGCCACTCTACGCCCGACCTTATGGAAGAGGTACGTAGATGACACTTTTGTCATCTGGCCACATGGCCGGCCTGCTCTAGACCAATTTCTCGACCACATCAATTCCATACACCCAGCCATCAGATTCACCATGGAAGTCGAAAAAGATGGCAAGCTACCCTTTTTGGATGTCCTAATTAAAAGGAGACCTGATGGTTCAATGAGCCACTCTGTCTACAGGAAAGCCACCCATACAGACGCTTACCTATAACCGGATTCCCACCACCATCCATCCCAGAAGAATTCCCTCATCAAGACTCTATACCATAGAGCCCAATGCATATCCGACCAGGAACACATTGCCAGTGAACTCAAACACGTACGCCAAGCTCTTAAGGCTAATGGTTACTCCGACTACACAATCCGCAAAGCCATCACTCCAACCATCAAGAAGGATCTTGTTGAGGAGCCTTTCAAAACCATCACCTTACCCTACATTGCTGGGGTCACAAAAAGATCTCCAAAATCCTGATAAAACACAAGATCCAGGTCCGATTCAACACAGTACATAAAATCCGTGATCTGGTCCCGTCTGTAAAAGATGTGGTTCCAGACATACAGTACCCTGGCGTCTACAAACTAAGTTGCCTCTGTGGTAGCAGTTACATTGGAGAAACCAAACGACATGTCTCGGACCGCATCCGTGAACATAAAGCAGACTTGAAACACGGTAGGACAAACACCTCAGCCGTAGCAGATCACTGTTACAATTCAGTGGGCTCACATGATATTGACTTCTCCAAGACAGAGGTGCTCTGCAAGCCATCTGGCTACCATGAGAGATTCGTTCGAGGCGATCCACATATACAAACACAGAGACAATTTCAACCGAGAAGATGGATTCTGGCTTAGCAATCATTGGAAGGACATAATAAACCATTTCGGATCTTAACTGATTGTGTTCACGTTTACGGTGACTTTCAGACCGCGTTCCACTCACTGGCATTGTATTCTCCGCAGGGAATGGATTCTTTGCTCCTCTGCAAGTTTCCCACTTCTACTCTCCCATTGACATATTTCTTTGCTTCTTCTTAGTATCTTTCACACGACGGTCAATGGTACAGTGTATAATAACAAATAGTATAACATTTATATGTTTAATACAATGTACAAAGTAATATATAGTATCGTAATTGTATAGCGAATATACAGCAGTGTGATATACATTAGGGTGGGTAGAATAATACATAGTGTAATATTACAATGTATAAGGTGGTTTATAGCAATACAGTATGTAATTTAATGTTGGGTTTGTCTATGGCTGTATATAGTACGGTGTAGACTCGTGTGATGTAAGAGAATAACGTTTAGGTGGAAGCATATTATATTTTTTACGACGTAGAATTGTAATGTATTACTTACTGTTAGTAACTCAGCTTATTGTAGATTATATTTAGTATACTGATGATACTATGTAGTTTATACTTTAGTTGTTTACGTGGTGGTTTTAGTTACTGCAGCTACATACTATTAACACTCCTTCCCTTACACTATGATATCTCTTCTACCAGTGGCAAAATATAGTAGTAGGTTTTTATACTTTAAACTAGTACAAAACTGACACCTTTTTTCAAGGCATCATGTTTGCAATAACAAAAACACAAGTAGTCAAAAAAGCGAACAAAAAGAAGCAATTATTATCATTATCAGAGTTGCTTCTTTTTGTTTGCTTTTTTGACTACTTGTGTTGTGGTTATTGCAAACACGATGCCTTGAATAAAGGTGTCAGTTTTGTACCAGTTTAAAAGGGTAAAAGCCTACTACTATACTCCTTCCCTTTATTAATGCTACCCCTATCCCCTCCCTTTGATGCTGCTAATCCTGCATAATGCACGAGCATAAGTAGTACTAATCACATACCTGCATTTCCCATATCCCCTCCCTTTGATGCTGCTAATCCTGCATAATGCACGGGCATAAGTAGTACTAATCACATACCTGCATTTCACATATCTCCTCCCTTGGATGCTGCTAATCCTGCATAATGCACGGACATAAGTAGTACTAATCACATACCTGCATTTCCCATAAATATGCTAAATTCCTCTTGATATGCAAATTATTTTGTCAAGGCGCCCTTTCCCCCCCTTCCAACCCAGCTTAAATATATGCTCCAAGCATGGTGCTGTTTCATTCAGACGCTGTCGCCTCGACAGACCTGGTTTTCACCTGAGGACGGCTGCCTGCGTTGTGGCCGAAATGTCGTGAGAATTATTTTATTATGTTTAATTTTTATTATTTCATTACTTCCCTTCTACGTGACTTTACCGAAAGAACCAAGAAGATGAATCCCTGCAGTCACGAAAGCTTTAAATCGAAATTTAACACATTTATATTTACGCGATCTAACACTAAAAACCTTTATTGTGAATAGTATGTGTAACAGGTTCCGGAGACACTTGTAGAGGTAACTTATTTATTACAATACAACACTCCAACAGTCCTGATACTCTGTTACAGCCTAGGTACACAGCCTAGCTACACAGCCTAGATACTCTACTCTGGCTACGCTCCGGAACTCGCCCTCACAAGGTCGTAGAGTCGGAAGTTCCAGAGTCCCAGCGCTGGCTCTCACAGCATCCCAGGGTCTTCAGATGGCTGGTCGTGGGTCTTGGGTCTTGAGTTACAACTGGGCCCTGATCGTCCAGGGAGCTCTCCTTTTATGCCTGGTCCAACGAGGGGTGGGGCCGTGTGCGCCACCAGACATCCCACAGAGCACACACAGCCCCCCCCCCCGTTGGCGGCGCCCAAAGGCTTAAGCGTCTGGACCCGCTGGGAACCCAACGCCTGGCGCCCAGAGGCTTAAGCATCTGGACCCCCTGGGAACCCAGCGCCTGGCGCCCAGAGGCTTAAGCGTCTGGACCCGCCCGGGAACCCAGAGCCCCCAGCAGCCCCTCCCTTCTTATGTCACTACATTACCCCCCTCTACGTAGCCTCCAGCCATCCCGGCTGTCAATAATTAGAAAGTTTAAATTAACTAAAGGGAGAGAGAGAAAAAAAATACGCGAGCCTCAAAAGGAAAAGAAAAGAGAACAAGAAAGCAACCATAAATACCATAACCAACCTGTACAACTCTACACTATATACAAGCATCAATCAACAAAAAGGTGAAGCAATGACACGTGAACAAACGACCCGCGGCACACCTAGCCCTTTTCGGGATCTGCATAGAAAACGGGGAATTAACAACAAATATACAGATTCCGACGCGTTGGATGCACAACCAACACCGGTAATCGAACCGAAATCACACAATCACAGCATGGATGGCAGGGATCCACACCACCCTGCCACCCTCCCATCCATCAGGTGGTGAGAAGGCGAAGACCAACATGTCTATCACCCCTCTACACACACTTATCCGGACGTCTGTCTATGTCCCGGGTCGAGAAGTCGTACTTCAGGGCCGACCCATGTACTGGGCAAAGAAGTCGCACTTCAGGGCTGCTCCAGTATCTACATTTTTAAATATATATATAAAATTTACATGACACAACCAAAATAAATCTGCCTGCTCCTGTCCATAAATGGTGGCCGCACGCGCGAACCGCATCTCCAAGGCATCCCGTGCTTGCGTCCCAGCAGCCTTCAATGAGGACCACAACCGACATTACATGTCAACCGTTTGCA